GGATACTGTAGCATGAGAATAAAAACAAAAAAAATATTCTTTTTAAGCGTACATAATAAATATTGCACAATTTGTGATACATCAAAGAGCGAAGCGATGGCCTATTTGTAGGAAAAAAGAAAAGATTTTTCAATCTTGAATAACCATGCTACAGTAAAATGTTTATTTTTTAAATTTAATACCAGAATCCCTTCTTCTGCACCTGTGGAACGAGTGTTTAGTAGCGGAAACCAAATTCTGACACCAAGAAGAAATAATTTAGGTGACAATACGTTCGAAATGTTGTTAATTTTAAAAAAATCATTAAACAATACACAAAAAAATACATAAACATGTTTTCAGTTATTTTATTCGCCAAAGCTTCAAAAAGTATCCGTTTTCTTGTATCTGTACCTAAATACATTTCGAAAAAATCGAAAACAATCTGTATCTAGATACTTTTATCTTCCATATATCTGTATCTGTATCTAGGTACTTTTAAAAGTATCTGTCCGCAACACTGGCAAGGATACAACATACCAAAGTTAAGACTAGACATACCAAAGAAAAAGTACCACATCTACCAGCAAATATAACTGGTCTAATTTCAAATAAAATAATGTTGCATATTTAAAATTCATCATGTTCGTAGATGATTTTATTGCAAGAGTTCTACTAAGAAATAAGTTTCGTGTAGAACGCACCAAAGAAAAATTAGATAATTATTTCACACTTCGAGGTCAGAATCAAGATAGGATTTGTGGTTTTGAGAACATCGTTCCTTCTAAATATTGTGGGTAAATATGTTCAAAAAAATTGTGAGAGGTATGAGGTACAAGATATATTAATAACTTTTCACTTGGTGATTCAGGTTTCGCTACTTAATATTCTACCCAACACTATTACAACAAAAATGTAGGGGAGTATGTGTTATTATTTTAGTGTGTGTTTGCCAATGTTTAAATTAACACCTAAACTTTAACATGTCATTATCCTGAAATTATTGAATACAAATTCTGACTTGTATGAGATAGAAGAACACATTAAATTAAGCTTAGCTGTATCAGAACTATGTTTACAGTATGATGATAGTTAGGATAAGAATACGATATATATTTGATTTTGAAAGGTTTTCATTGAAACATTCGATGAAGTTTAATCCACTGCTGGCAGCAAAACATTTTTTATTCAAGTAAGTCCGTACTTAAAATTTGTACATCACTGCATAGCATTCTTCTTTTATTTTAATTTATAGGGATTATCCAATAGTGTAGAAGCGCATCTTCTTCCATAATTTCATAGGTACCTTACGAAACTCTGTCCTTCAACAATGCCCGACCACATATTGCTGGAATTACTGTAGTCAGTGACTATATATAGTCACTGCTGTAGTCTAGAGCATTCTGAAGAACCTGAAGTCAATCTTCTCCAGACCTAGCCCCCATCGAAAATGTTTGGAGTATGTTAAGCAGAAGACTAATCAATTTATCCTGTCCTCCAGCAAGATCGATGACTGCCACATTAGGACTTCTTCAACGTACAAGAAAAAAATTTGTTTCTTAAAACTTCCAGTCAAAGTTATAAACCCCTCTTCTTCCGTCAGGGGTTAAAAAGGTATACAATAAGAACAAAAAGTTTGGTTTGTTTACTTTCCAACTGAGAGCATTTAACGAAATTTCATACTTATTCTATGTTCCATAGTATACATAGATTATGAAAAAAATTGCTCCCCTCTTTCTGTGTCTATGTCGTTTGTTCTCCGTCTGTTAACAGTTTTATTAAACATAAGACCTTCGAAACTAAAGGACAAATTACTGTAAAATTCTAGCTGTACTTTATTCTATTACCTAAAATCTAAATCTTGTCCACCCATCTCCACAAAAAAGATTTTTTTTTACACTGTTCAAAATAATGTGCCTCTATAACTGTGATCTATTTTTAACCTTCCATTTGTAATTTTTGGAACAATAAGATTTAAAATTTGTTAATAATTTTACAATTTTTCTTAAAAACTGCAAAGCCGATTGTTCTAAGATTTTATATACGTTATATACGTTATCTTGAAAAAGTGAATCAGTAATCGGAATTCATCCTAACAAAAATGAAATGAAGCCAACTCAGAACTTTACTGACTATAAATCTCCTTTCCTCGGTTAAAATTTATAGTATGATATGCTTAACTTTCCCTGGCGTGTAACAATGCATGCTTATTTTTATTTTTAATAATTTTTTCATTTTTAATACCGAAAATAAGAAATCTGGTAAAAACTTCAATATTGCATTGGGCTTAAATATATATTATATAATATATTATTTTTAATCAGGTAGGCGCTTAAATCAAGTAAATGTTATTTCTTGAAATACTTACGTAAGAATGTTTAGTAACCTGTTTATTCAAATTAATTGTTGACGTCTATAACTTGCCGTTAAAACTATAAGTAATTAAAAAAGCCTTTGGTGCGTCATTGGAATGTCATAAACAACAAATATGGTACATTTTAATATTGTAAATTTCGTTTTTCACATTACGAATCCAATTGTAAATGAAACATGAAATACAATTAAAACTTTTGGTTGCTTCTATTTGTTTTTGTATAACAACAACAATAATAATATTCGTAACAACAGGCTTTTATTTTTCACAAACAATGTTTTAGCTTTCGCCTTTCTATTAACTTCCAATGTGGCAAAACAAAAAATATAAGAAAAATAAGAAAGACGATAGTTATAATACAAATTAGAAAAGCCAAGCATTCATATAGGTAAATAAAAGAAGGCATTTTATTATTTATTATTATTATTATTAAGACCCACCACTGACCCGGAAATCACCGGCATTCAGGCAAGACTTCTATCATTACGAGTACTAAGACCAAGTAATGATATGCATTGATTAGATTAACAAAACAACTTTCGAGATTCTAGAATTACAGCATACAAATTAGTCTGCTATTATTCTCTAATCTCACCCCATCCTCAAAAGTCTAGCGTAACTAGCGATCATTTATCCGCGCAGCTTTTTGAATTTTGATAATTATTGAATCATTTAAATGCAAAGACTTTAAATTCTCAATTAAGCTATTTGGGACTACACCTACATCAGAGATAACTAAGGGTAGAATTGAATTTTTTTTAAGATTCGATAATTATTGTAGATATTTTGAAATCTTGGTGTGGTATGTTTGAATAATGTTGTTTGTGTTAGGAATAGCAATGTCAATGAGAATGGCTTCGTTCGTGTGTTTTTTGATAAGTACGATGTCAGGTCTGTCAGCTGTAATGTTTAAGTCTGTAAGTATTGTGCGATCCCAGTATAATTTGTATTTGTTATTTTCAAGGAACGGAGATGGAATGTAAGTGTAATAGGGTGTCGTATCCTCGATTAAGTTCGTAAGTGTTGCTAATTCTTTGTGAATGATTTTGGCTGCGTTGTCGTGTCTAGCTTTGTAGTCAGTTTGTGCCAGGATGCTGCAGGAGGAGATTATGTGCTGGATCGTTTCAGAACTTGTAGTTTTGCCGGAAATCGTGATAAACCGTTTTCTACCCTTAAAAGCTCACCCTCTTCCACTTCCCGACCTTAGATCGCCCGTAAATTATTCTTCCTTTTATTATTGTTATATTTTCTTCCTTTTCCAATGAGTATCATCCTGTTCTAATTTTTTTTCACTTTTTACCATTTAAAAGGCTTCGGCACTGGCCTATTTTGTACTAAAAGTGCCACGGATAGGGGACAGGGCATTTTAGACTCCCTGCGGTTTATGAATCCGACATTATTTTTTACCTTAGACATTCAAGCTTAAAAAAAATAAAAGTTGATAACAATATTTTACCATTTTTGAACTCGAAACTGCAAAACCGAATGCACTGAAATCTTGCAAATTAAGCGAGAGAACAAACATTTTATGAAATAAATGTTTCTCTTGAACTTTTATTAATACACATTTTCCTCATTTATATACGTATTTTTTTTTGTAAATTTTGTAATTAAATCGTATATTATTATTAAAAAAAGTCTTTAAATATCCAGTTCTTTGGTGGCTTAGGTTTCTAAGATCGTTCACATGTTCTTAGATTTTTCACAAATGGTTATTTCTAAAACAGATTTGTTGAGGTATCTTCACTGACTAATAAATACTGTGCTCAAAAAACTTACGGACTATAAAATGTCCTAACACCTAGGCTTGATTATCTTGTGATCTTCTTGATCTTTTTCGTAGACCATTTGTTATAAGTTATAATTATATGGATCTTAATGTTAATATCTCTCCAACTGGAAGAATTCGTAACTAGGACAGGACATATAATTAAAACTAAACTGCATTTCAAATGTCATACTTGAAAAAAAGCATATTATACTTAATTAATGGAGTACTTATTTTAATGTGACTTCTGAAACTCTGACCCTCTTAATTATAGCCATATACTTAGCTACTTTTTCATGTATTAAAACTAGTACAGTTTCAGTTTTTACACACGTAATTTATGCCATTTTACAATTAAAAGATATTATTATCGTTGTGGACGATAGCGTAAAAGAGTCATTCTCAAAAGAAATATTCATAGTTTGCAAATTTCTGCTGCAGTGCTGTAAACATTATTCTTAAATTATCCACTAAAACACCGTCAACTAATTTTGAATTCTTACAGACAAAACTTTTTACAAATCAATATTATACAAGGTAAGAAATTATTTGTTAGACACCAAGACATAAACTTTAGACAATTTTAAAAATTTTAATATAAGGACAACACAATAGTGTTCAGTATATGAATGTTGAAATACAGAGCGAATAGCAGTTAGTATGTAAATACTACCCTCTTTAGGTTTAGTTTGAAAAAATGCCAGCATAGAAAAGGAATCATTTCACCACTTGTGACAAAATTTTTGTAAATCACGTGGATGTGCAACGTAACTATTTGTATCAGTGTATAACTAAACAACTTTGAAAGTTTACTGCATTTTTTGCGATTTTATATGTATATTTATGTAAGTAAGTACATATTTTATTGTTGATAGAAAAATGGACTTATTCCCTGTTACAAAAGAAGAAAGGAAACAGATTTTGAAACAGTATAACGTCACTGAAGCTGAAGTTGAAGATGGAGTAAAAACGATCAAAATATGGAAAGAAAAAGTACAACATCTACCAACAAATATAACTGGTTTAATTCTAAAACACAATAATATTGCATTTTTAAATTCACTTTGTTTGTAGACGACTTTATTGCAAGAGTTCTACTAAAAAATAAGTTTCGCGTAGAACACACCAAAGAAAAATTAGACAATTATTTCACACTGCGAGGTCAAAATCAGGATCTGATTTATGGTTTGGAAAATATTGTTCCATCTAAACACCTTGGGTAAATTTACTAGAAGTTAGATGAGTTGTAAACTATGTAAAAACAATTTATGAAATAGCTGTTTGTCGTACAAAGTGCAAATCAATGTCCAAAACTTTTGAAAGTATTTTTCAATAATTGAAATTAAACTGCATCCAATTAAGAATTGATTATAGTTTCTCATACGTAAAACACTACTAAAAAAAAATATGTATGTTTTAATATTTTAGTTTGTGCATGCCAATGTCTAAATTAACACCTAACCTTGAACGTGTCGTTATATTAAAATTATTGAACACAAATTCCGACATATACGACGCAGAAGAATATTTTAAATTCATCGTAGCTATAGCAGAGCTAAGTCTACAGTATGACGACAGCATAGGAACAAGGTATATATTTGATTTTGAAGGGTTTTCTTTGAAACATTTGGTGAAGTTTAATCCAGTGCTACTAGCTAAACTTTTCACATTTATTCAAGTAAGATTGTGTGCGGAAATTTGTCTAAATTACATATTTGAATTTTCAGCAAACATATTCTTGTCGACTAATGGGATTTGAGTGTCTTAATTTTCCAGAGTTTGCTAGCAAATTGCATATAATTTTGAAGCAAATACTTCCGGGAAAACTGTCCCAAAGAGTATAATTATATTAAAATTTACAGTATCATATTAATCTTAATCTTTGGTATTTTTATTTTCTAGATAAAAATTTATGCCGACATAAAATCCCTCTATGATATAGTTCCCAAGGAATGTTTACCATCTGAGTACGGCGGTAGTTGCAGCAACATACCTGATTTATTAAGTAGCTTGATATATTTAGTTTATTTAGGTGACTTTAAAATCACTTCATGATGGATTTTTAGAAAAATGGGACGAAGCTTTTAAAAATCATCAAAGTTTTTTCCTTGAAAACTACAATAATATTTCTTTGGAGCATTTACGTCCACAAGATTTAAAGGAAAATGTTGCGTTTGGACCTGACGGAACTTTCAAGAAATTAACTGTGGACTAATTTCCACCACCTAGTAGGTAGACACCACAATTAAATACTGTATTATTTAATCTTGAGGGGAGTGAAGTATTTTATCTATTATTTCAATTGTAAACTGTAATAGAATTGAGAAAATAAATGATAATAAAGGATAACACATCAGGACCAATAAAATAATGCACTGCGTTAAGAAACCAGAAAATTTACAAATGTAAACAGTAACAAATCTTATCAAAACCAAAATTAACTTGAACTTTCAAGTTTGTGAAAAACGGAATATTTTCCATTGAGCTTAGCTCTAACAGAACTAAGTTTACAATTTGATGACTGCATAGGAATACGATATATTATTGATTTTGAGGGTTTTTCTATACAACATGTTCTGAAGTTGAATCCAGTTCTAATAGCTAAACATCTCACATTTATTCAGGTAAGTCCATTTATACATTTATATAACTATATTTTTACATTTTAGAAAACATATTCCTGTCGGATAGTGGGAATCGAATGCGTTAATTTGTCAGCATTTGTTAGCCAAGTGCAACAGTGAGGCAAATGTTTTCGGGGAAACTTTACGACAGAGTATATATTAAATTTTATTGTAGATTAGTATTAATGTTTCGTATATTTACATTTTAGGTGAAAATTTATTCAGATATAAAACCTCTGTACGATATAATTCCCAAAGAATGTTTACCATCCGAATATGGCGGTAGTTGCAGTAACATACCTGATCTATTAAGTATCTTGATACCTTTAAATAGTTAATATAATTTAGCTTAAAACATCATTTTAGGACAATGGGATGAAGCCTTTAAAAACCATAAAAGTTTTTTTATCGAAAATTACAACAATGTTGCCTTGGAGCATCTGCGACCAGAGGATATGAAAACAAGTGATGCATTTGGGCCTGACGGAACATTCAAGAAATTAACTGTGGACTAGTTTTCAACTTTCAGCGTCTGACTGATAGAAACTAAAAATACTGCATTAGATTTAATGTTAGTTGGTGTGAACTATGAAACGTATTATGTCATACTTAAGCTGTATAGAAATGAGGAAATTACTAATAAAGAATAACAAGACAAGAATAATCATGAAGCATTTTATGACAAAAATAAGATGAATAACAACAAATACATTATTATTGGAATACCTTATTCTTTGACGAATGTACCAGACCTTACCTGTATTCTGTAATTCTAGAACTTCCAAAGTTGTTTGTTTTATCATAAAGTCAGTACCATCAGTACACAATATACATGGTCTTTGTATCCATGACGATATTCCTAAATCTTGTGCCTTGGCTGAATAATGATTCTGATACAGAAATGGGACCATCAGACAATTTATATGGATTTTTTAATGTCTTATTAAAGATTTTAGCTATAACCAGAAGAATTCATAAATATCTGTTACAGCAGACTTCTGAACTGTTGACCTTAATTAATGTCGTAAATTATAAACTCGACTATTTATTAAGTACGTACTATAATAATATTAATAATAATAATAATAATAAGTATTTATTAACCCAGCAAACATTTAATGTTTAATATAGGGTATATATCATATAAATTCCAATACAAAATAAAAATAAAAATAGAAACTTTCTCTAAAGTCTAGCTAATGTAACAAAGCTGTTCTAGCATTTTCTATAAATTCAGATATATTTACGAAAATATCAACAAACTGTTGCACGTTATTATACAATCTGACCATATTTACCAATGAAGAGTGCATATGTTGGTTAGTGGATGGTGTATTGAAAGTAAATGTAACTGAAGAGCGGGTACCATATTTAGAAACATTAAAATTAATTTGACTCAACAATTCAGTACAATCAACAGTACTATGGATTAACTTATACAAGAATAGTACACTACAAAAATTTCGCCTAGAACACAATGTAGTTTCATTAAATTCTCTCAATAATATTTCATGTGGAAATTGTTTCTGTGGATAAGTACCATATTTGACAAAATACAATCTCTTAAGAAATCTTCTTTGAACCCGCTCTAAGTCACTAATATGTACATTATAAAAAGGGGACCACACCACGCAACAATATTCTAACTTGCTTCTCACTAACGATGTGTACAACAATTTTAAACAATTTACATTTTTAAATTGAGACGTGTTACGTGTAATAAAACCTAACATTTTAATAGCTGAATTAACAACATAATTTACGTGAGGTACAAACGAGAGCGTGCAATCCATAACAGCACCAAGATCCATTAACTGCATACATCTTTCAAGTTCAACATTATTAATATGGTACCTGTATCTAATACTTTCCGATTTTCTACTAAAAGTTATTATTTTGCACTTTTTGTTGTTTACTTTTAAATAATTATTACTACACCAGAGTAGAAATACATCTAAATTATCTTGTAAATACTCACAATCATTTTTGTTTGTAATTATCTTCACAATTTTTAGGTCATCCGCATACAGAAAGAGCTTACACTTCAACACTTTGACGATATCATTAACAAACATTAGAAATAACAAAGGCCCCAAGTTCGACCCTTGTGTCACACCTGAATAGACTTGATATAATTGCGATCTAGTGCCTACATAATCTACATACTGAAATCTGTGACGTATTAATGAACAGAATAACTTAATTATATTATCACATAATCCATATTGTTTTAGTTTGTTAATTAACATACAGTGATCTACTCGATCAAACGCCTTATTTAGATCGGTATATATAACATCCACCTGTTTTTTATTGTCAAGAGCATTCGAAACATACTGCACAAATTCACATAGGTTGGTCACCGTTGATCGACCTTTTACAAATCCATGCTGCTGCTGTGCTATCATCCCCGATACATGACTAAATATAACTTTAGCTATCACTCCCTCAAACAATTTAGCAAAGTTGTTCAGCAAATTTATGGGTCTATAATTGCTTACATCATTCTTAGATCCTGATTTGAAAACTGGACATACCCTCGAAAATTTCCATTTTTTGGGAAAATGCGCCGTATTTATTATTAAATTAAAAATATATAATAGAGGTCGTACGAAACAGGGTAAACAATCCCGCACCAGGAAGGATGGTATGTTATCCGGTCCCATAGTATGCGTATTTTTTAGTTTTCTTCCAACAGCGTAGATATCGTCGCAGGTGATATTGAAATTATGTAGCACATTTTGAGCATTACTAAATATATCACAGTTGGTTTTATCACAGTTAATTAGAACACAATTGGACGTTTTCATTTTACAAATATCACAGAAAGACCATTCATCACAATTTACATCACAGACACATTTGCTATCACGATGGTAAACATTCCTGAAATGTCTAGCAAATCCATTCACTATATCTTCAGCTGATGTTAAAGACTCATCTTCATATGTCATATTTCCTGGAATTCTACTAGCATTTCTTTTATTATCAATAAACTTCCATAAATTTTTAGGATCTGTTTGTGTGGTGTCTTCTGCAACCTTTAAAAATTTCTGATATTCTTCACGTGTTTTTTTTCTAATGTACATATCATGGAAAACGATGTTTTTAAGCTTATTAGAGAAGCAGGTTTTTTGTTATTTACAATATATAGTCAATTTGCGAGTAACATACGAGTAATTTAATGGCGTCTTGTTAATATCTGGTTATTTTCGTAATAGACGATACGATAAGGAAATTTTTGCTCACAATAATGTAGTACATTCAAAGTGTTGATAAAGTTTTCCAAAAAGTTTGTTAATTCACACACTTTCATTAAAAATCCTCGAACCGCCCAATTATATTTTTTAAAATGACACTTTTTGACGCTTTCTTTCGGATTCTGATAAAACTTTTTATTAATTAAATGGTCGTAGAAAAGACGTTGATACCTTACATCCTTAAAAGTTTCAAAAACAAAAATTCGCCACTTGGCAAGTACCAGTCGTATTGCCCATTTCTATTCGAATTTGGCGTTAAAATAGCGTATTAGCCGGCCATTCAAACATTCCACGTTACTCTATCCATCTTTCCTAGAAAAAACTGTCGAGAAACTCTCTCATTTCCACGTCAAAATACGGAGGTGTTTCAAGCGTTTCATCTTCCTTTTCTTCACTATTTGAACGATTACAGTCTCAGCTAAGCACATCAGCTATCGGTATTTTACTGCACATTATACTCGTAGTTGGCGTATAATGGACCACATCGAAGACAGTTGTTTGCAATCTTGCTGGAGCTTTTTCTATTGGCTTCTTAAAGATTGATAGCTGTTTCTGATCTGTTTCTACAGTGAGACATTTACCGCTGATGCATTTGTGAAATTTCTTCCACGCGTATCTAACTGCGCAAGCTTCTTTTTTGATTGAGGATATTTAAAAACAGTCGGACAAGACAATCTTAAACGCCGGTATCTCCTTGAATCCAGTTCATCCTAGATTCTACTTCTGATTGACGTGTGGTACAATTTGATTGGAAGACCATAATTTCTTTGCATTTTTGGGTAAAAGATGTGTAGTAATCTCTGTACACATATGGCATCGGAACAAAGTAGTGTGATTTCTGTCCATACCTGAAAGAAAGAGGATGAATTTGTAAGGCCGTGGAAAATAATAGATGATTTTGATCGCTAAGTTATTTGAGGATGATTTGGTTACTTGCGATATGAGGGATATAACGCCTTACAAACGAGCAACTTGTACTTTTGAGACTGTTCTGTATAAATACCTACATTTACTCAGCTGCCAAATCTTATCTAACTAAATACCACGTTTTTTTTTTTCAGGGAAGATCTACGATTACAAACCTTATGTGTTTCTCTCAATGTTTCTGTTTGTCTTGATAACAGAGGTCAAGTTGACACTACTTACACGGATTTTTGTGAAGCATTTGACCAAATTGATCATTATATCTTGACTGGTTATTATGAAAGTAATAAAATAGATTTAGATAAAGGACTACAATTTGTACCAAAACGGATCAACAAAGGAATAAACTAAATAGAAATCATCAAATAACGAAACATTAAGGCAAAACAAGTTATTCACAAAGTTCGCAGATGAATTGCTTGATTCTTTTTTCAACACCCGCGCACTCACTGTGGCACCAGGAACCACAACTCTGACATAAAATCCACATTTCTCTTGTTTTCGACCTAGAGAATATATCATTGCAATATAAACCTTGCTTCAATGGGCTTCATCGTCATCAATGTCTTCAACCTTTTCATTATCACTGACATAATTCGTTTCTTCTTTAACCAAAATTTTCCTTTTTGCTTTTCTTGATAACTTTTCCCTCTCCATTGTTGTTTTTTCTTCTACTTCCTTTTTTAATTCATCAATGTCTGGCGTGGAATTTATATGTCCTTTTTTACTAGGTTTTCTTAATCTTTTCCTTGAAGCTCCAAGTGAAGCTTGCGGCAATGGAGATAGTTCCTGATACTATAATATCTTCGTTTCCTTGTTGACGGAATTCTTTCTGTGGACTTAGCTTTGGCAAATCCTGATGTTGAAGGTTCAACTTCAGTAGCTTCTGGTGTTTCAGAGCCTAATTTAGGCAGTTCAACGTCTACGCCTCCTCGTTGTGGTTGTTTTTGATCATTTTGGCATTGGTCATGTTCGGTTAACGGTCTATCGGTTGTGGAAGAGGGTTGGATCATCCAGTCAGGAAAGATGTCATCGAAGGGATATATTCCTGTTTTGGTAAACCCGTGTACTGCATTTGCGGGTGTAGCAGCCTTCAAATACACTTTATTGAAAAGACCAGCTACTTGGAAATGTGTGACGATTCTACCAGGATGTTGTTTAAGCCAAGTCTGAATTTCTTGGCCGTAATAAGTTTGGACAGGTGAAAAAAAACCTACATCCAGGGCTGTAGCCGGTGGGTACAATGTGCGGGAAAACAGAATAGTATCACACCATTATCTTTCGGGTATTGTGGCACTTCTAGGCTTTTGTGGCTGCTGTGGCCGTCCAAT